GATGTGTGTATGGTTTAATACTGCTCTGTTTTCATATGCTGGTGAGTGGGTTCAGCTCGACGTGACTATAGCCATTTTGAGTTGTAACTGCCATGATTGCCCCTGAGTAACCATAGCCAGTTTTTCCTGCAGAGTTTCCTAAAAAACTATAAATAGACAAAACCACTAGAATCATCTGTATTACTTTATAACTGGACCCTGGCTCTAGGGATGCACCTTTCATATTAGCATAAGATAAACCAGGTACATTCCAGCTAGGAGAAAGTCACTTTTTTCTTAACCTTATATCCATCCCTCTTTCTGACCCAAATTGTGGGGATCCACAGCTGATCTTCTTGTTACCTAGAATCACACTTGTATCAGTAAATCCCTTAATAAATTGTACTCTGTACAATCCTGGATCTATCTGCCTCTCTTTCTTTGGTCTCACAGTACCTTGGGGCTGGTCCTCATACACCAGGAATGGGTTATTTCAAAATATCTGGACTCAAGAAGACACAATTTGGAAGGGGTAGAATGAACAAATTGAGTTTATATTATATTAGTCAGTTTTGTTACCACAAAAAGACTGTGTAACGAACTATTCCAAGACTCAATGGCTTACAGCAAGCATTTATTCTTATACTCCCAAATTAGCCAGGTGATGAGTTCAGATTATTTAGGTTGCACTAACCAGGATAGTTCTGCATCATGCAATTTGTTGACTGGGCTAGGATTGGTTCTAGGAATGAGGATTTGATTTAGATCTGTTCCATAAATGTTGCTTCTGAAAACCAGACTGAAGGGGCTCATTTCTCTGGGACATGTACTTCTCAGCATGGGGTCACCAAAAAGCCAGAGCCAAGCCATACTGTGCAAGTACATCCAAGGCCCTTGCTTGCATCACATCCACTAATAGTCTATAGGTTAAAGCAAGTCACCGGGGAGTTCAACATCAGTAGTCCCAGAAAGTATACTCTGTCCACAGGGCAGAGCGAGCAGAGCAAATGACTGTCATGTATTTTAATGCTTCAGCCTTGCAAATTATGAGGCAATTAGGGAAAGAGTTATCTCTAAGGATTAATGTTTGCCCTTAGGATTTGTGTTTATACTCAGCCTTCACATGATTAATCCAATAGTTACTAAAGTGCACATTTAAAAGAAAACAGAGAGTACCAATGAATGAAAGGATAAAAAAAATGAGACACTGTGGTATATATGTGTGTATGTATATGTATATATATAATCTTGTGGTACTTCTATATATTTTTGTGTATATATAGGTATATATAGTGAAATATTAATCAGCCTTAAAAATGAAGGAGAAGGAGATCCTGCCATTTGTAACAACATAGATGAAACTGAAGGACATGATGATAAGTGAAATAAGTCTGACGCAGAAAGAAAAGTACTGCATGACCTCACTTATATGCTGGATTTTTAAAAGGCCAACTAGATAGTAGAACAGTGGTTACAAGAGAAGGAATGAGCAAGGAAATGGGGAAATGTAGGTCAAAGTGTACACAGTTGTAGTTATATAGGATGAACAAGTCTAGAGATCTAATGTATAGCATGAGAACTATAGCCAATAACATTTGTTTATTATCTACTGCCCTTATCACAAAGAATGAGAAGGAGGAGATAAATAAGTAGCAGATAAGTTAACTTTCTTTACTTTAGTACTCATTTCTCTATATGTATGTCAAGACATCATGGTGTGCATAATAGAACAGCTAGCTAGCTAGATGATAGAAAGGTAGAAAACAGATGTATCTCCAACCCAGACTGAGGGGAAATCTTTGGAGATAACTATATATCTCCAAAAGCCCAGTTAGAATAGTATTTCTGAAAATCCTGAAAGATTATTCTAGTTCAACCAAATGACTATAATTTAGGAGAAGGCATAGGATTTGAAAACCAGTCCTCCCTGGTAGAAAGGTCAGATTCTGAAATGGTGGATGGAAATTTCAGGACTGGAGGTTTGAAGCAGGCAGGAAATCAAAGCTGGGAATTTGGGGTTCTGAAGAAGGGACCTCTGGGAAGGATTAATGCTTGGCTACTTTACTTGGACTTATAAACCAAGTCATGTTTACTGAACTGTTGCCAACGGTTTCTCTTTAGGCAGTGAGTCCCTTTTATTTTGTGTTTTCTTTCCCTCAACACTTCAGTTCAAGTTCAGTTACACAACTTTTTTGTGTTGTCAAAAGGTCATGCCTTATTCATATAGTTTCCTAATTTTCCTCTTATAAATCTTATTATTCTAAATGGGAACTAAATAACTTTTTAATGTAAACCTTCAATCTTTTTTTTATAATCCATTTGGGAAGCACAGTAAGAAAGGGAGATCCTGTTTTTATTGGAAACATGAGCTTTTTCCTTTTTGATTTAGTGAGAAACCATTTATTCTTCTGATTTAAAGCATATTTTACATGTTCTGGTTAATACATCAAGTGTATAATGTGGGAATCCCTTAAGAATGCTAAGACTGCACATGGGAAGTTCAGTTATACATTGAATTAGGATATTAGACAAACATCACTTTTAGTGTCACAATGCATACATTATATGTACTTTTTTCATTGACAGAGGACATGCCTTTCAAAAAATATTTTATTGGGTGAAACTTTCTTATTCTCACGAAAACTTGTGGTTTTTTTTAAATATAATTTATTATGCCTTTTAAAATTGTTTGATAAAAGCATTGGTACATTATAAATACCTGTAAAGAAAATATAGCTTAAAAGTCTAAGGGAAATATTATATAAGCTTCCTCTTAAACATTTTCACAAAAACCCACACAGGCGCTAAGAAAGACTGACAAAAATATTTATGTCTGAACAATATATATTTTCCAACATGATTTTATCTAAATCAGACATGATTTTATCTAAATATTAAAGCTTTTCTAGAATGAACCTTTGGCTAGAACCCAGTGAGTTGGTTGGGGTTTTAACCAGGAAAAGATATTATTAGGAAGGATTCAAAGAAGCTGCATATACTTTGCACTATGTTAGGAATTGAAAGAATGTGTTTTAACTCCAACTTTTTCATCTATTACCACTCATTGCCTTCTCTGGATCTAAGTTTTTGTTAGTTGAAATTTAGTCTAGTAACTCTCAGGTCCTTTTCAGTTTTAATACTTTTTGGTATATTGAAATATTCAAAACTCCTTCTAAAATCTTGTATCAAACAACACGTGGACTCTTCAAGGACAGAGTGATATGGCAATTCTTGTAGAATATCCTCAAGGCTTCATGGGCATGGCTCTGGAGGTAGCCTCATTCTACACAAATTCACATGATGGAGCAGGAGCTGAAAGATTACTGTATTGACTATACTTGAAGCCAAAACAAATCAACTGTCTTCCTGAATTAGTTCAAGGTTAGGAGTGGCCTTATGATGGTCAAAGTTCATAGAAGAATTGCAAATAGCAACTCAATGGGACCCTATGGCATTGCAGGTGACTGGAGCATTTGTTAGTATGCTGAAAGAGAGAAACTACGAGGTTGGTAATTAAGGAAGAGTAGAAATGAAGAGCCAAGTGAGATGAGATTAAATGAACAATTCAAAGTAGATTACGGAGATATTTTCAGCATCTGAAATACACTTTTTGCCTATAAGTGTAACTTAAATGAATCATAGCAGACCCATAATTATTAATGACAGTCTGTCTGAAGGAAGATTATGGTAGCCTTTTTCCTAATGTATTTACACTTTGCTCACATTCATTGAGTGCAGGAGGGGGGAAAATCAAATGTCTGTTGAATACTGACCAGTAATGACTGAGGTGGCCCTCATAAGTAGATAAGGAGAAGTGGACTCAAATCTCTCTGGGCAGCTGCTACTCAGTTCTAGACAACTACTGACATCAGGGAAGGTGGGCCTGAAAATCAGGATGTATGTGAAATCTCATACTTTCAATAATCTCTCACGTTTTTAAAACATTCTGCAAACCAAACAAAACCTATCAGAGGGAGAATGGGGTCTATAGCTGTCAGTCCATGCCTTCCAATTGGAAACATGGAAGCAATTTTGTGAGAGTTTGGAGGAGCTTTTCAGTGTCCAGGGATGAACACTCAATTATAAAAATTTAAAACAACTTGTTCTAATGAACATAATTTAAATGAAACAAACAAAACCTGTCATTGTTTCTTGCTGTTATGAATATTTTCCTGTTATTACATTGGTTCTCCATGTTATGAGTGGTTTGGTTGCCTGTTGTTACTTTTAAACACATATGACTAGGAACTTGCCAAGCCCTGAGTGATGGTTCTGAAAAAAATGGTACAAATTATTTCTCTTAATATTGAGTTTGTGGCTAAGAAAAGAGTCAAACAAGGAAAAAGGGGATGTTATAGAAGAAGACCAGCGCACATAAGATGAGTCACAGCTATTTTTAGATCACAGAGGCCTCTAAGTGGTACACCAGGCAAAGAGGAATGTTCTAGAACCATGCTAACCAGATAACATAGATTTCAAGTTCTGTTTCAGGATCTGAATAATCCAAGTTTTTCTTAAAATGACCAGATTTTCACTCCCAGAATGAGCAGTACTTTGGAGCAGAAATACCTAGAGGCTAGCTGTGAACTTTTTCATAGATACTTTCCAAATGCTTCCTTGGCATCAAAATGCAAAGAGTTACATGGCAAAGACAGGGAACCAGTCATAGAAAGTTTTCTTCCTCTCTCCTCTTTGCAGGAAGGCTTTTGCCTTTCTTGTGAGAAATGAAAGATGCGGGCTCACGGAGGCTATTCTACTCTGACATGGGGGGCCATGGTATCAACAGTGACTCGAGAGAGAACAAACCACTTTCTTGCACAGGCAGGGAAGATGTGTTTCTAAAGAGCTACGATCAATTCTAGATTTCCTATTGAAGCCCATCCCCTTCAAATGTACAGCTTGGGGAGAAAAAAAAAAGTACCACAAAGGATAGTTATAAGCATAGGAATCAACAACAAAACAACCACTCTAGACACAGCCAAAATCTAAGGAAAGGGAGATGGGTGATCTTTTCCAACTCAAGACCACACACGTATTTTAATTTTCCTCATTCAGAATGTCCACTAGAGCCTGCAGCAGCCGGTCATCTCTGTGCTTATAAGGTTTTGTGTTATAGAAAACATCAACATAGTCACTATATAGACTGTCCTCAGAGTCTTTAAGCTGGGAAGGTTTGTTCAGCTTTTCCAGGGCTTCATAGAAATTTTCATAAGGGATGTTGAGCTTTGTGCTTGGAGACTTCTTTGGTGATTGCTTTGGAGATGAGTTTTTGCTAAAAGCACTTTGTAGGAGTCGTAGCATGGCCTCAGATGGGGCCGCCTCTGCCAGCTCATCCTTTCTGCCCCCCACACTGCTGCTGCTGGGACTTTTGGACACCAGCGGGTTCTCATTTGGGCCCTTTTGTAGGGGCTGCTCCTAAAACACAAAATGCCACCAACAAAGGAAAAAAAGATCATTATTTATAGCCAGGCAAGCTAGTTGTGGCTCTAGTGCAAACAATCCTTTGTACTACTGCACATCCCTTAAGAGGTAATTTGGAGAGCAGAAAGCAAAGCCTGGCATCATCCAGGCTTGGATTTCAACCCTTATTTTTCTACTTACTGATGTAACTTTGGCAACCTTTTTAATTTCCTTAGACTTCACCTATGAAATAGGAATAAGAATACCTCCATTTCTGGTGGTTTTGAAGACCGAATCAGACTATGGAGGTAAATGTTCAGTGTGCGTTGGTTTCCTTCACTTGCTAGCCTGCTATAGTGGAATGCATTTGGAGAAAATGTTATTAAATATTTAACAACTCATTTGTAATGCACCAACCATTTCTGTGTGTAGGAGCAGCTTCTTGGAGGGTGCTTGCTTTGTCAGAAGCTACTGAATTAGAAGAAGGGCCTAGGGGGGAGATTCAGGTGTGGGCCAGGTGGGAGGGAATGATAAGATCAGAGAAGTGACTCTTTGTCAACTATTATGGAAGTATAGTCATTTCCCAGAACTTCCACGGTTACCAAAATCTGTCAATGTCCTTTATATTGGTATTTAAGTACATCCTCCTGTATACATTAAGTCATCCTATAATTGTCAATATAATGTAAATGCTATATAAATAATTGTTATACTGTATTGTTTAGGGAATAATGATGGAATGAAAAAGTCTGAACATGTTCAGTACAGACATATTTTTTTCAAATATTTTTGATTTGCATTTGGTTGAATCCAAGATGCAGAACCCTTGGATTTGGAGGGCTGAATGTATTTCAGTACTTTAACAATGCAAGGGTCCTGTTCATTCCTTTTAGCAAATCTCACAGGGAGAAACATTCAAATGGTTAACCGATTTCAGGCACTGCAAAGCAGGTTTTGGAGGGAAGCTGCATAGCAGAATGTAAGTGGGGCCAGACTCCAGGCTGAAGCCTTCACACAGCTGGCTTACAAGTTTCTTAAGTAACCTTCCAAAACATCCAGTATAGAGCCCAATCTATCACGAGAGGTCATTCTAGAAATTCTGAAAACTGCTACTCCATATGAACACTGTGCTAGATGCTGGGGATTCAGAGAGAAAGATGTGGTTTCTGCCCACCAGATGACAAAGGAGAAGCCAGCAGCTCCTAAGCACAGGAACATGAATGGCTTGCTTTAAATATCCTCTGAGATTTTCTGAGTGAAACTGACTTCATCGCTTTTATTAGTGTTGCCAAGATGTCTCTGTTAAGCGGTAGTTACTAAACAGAAATTAGTGAAGGTGAAGCCTACATGATTTGGTTGCCTGAGCCTTGGTTTTCTTTCTGTAAAATGGGAATGCTAATGTTTATCCTTTCTAGGTTACAAGGATTATAGGTCAAAATGAGACAATGTGGAAAATGCTTGAAATCTAAATGCAATGCCAATGTTAGGTATATGTAATCATGCATAGACAGCTTTCTTTACAATTTTCTGTCATAAGTAGCTAATATTCATGTTAGGGGATTAATAATTTTTAATTTATCAACTTTAATAAATTCTAGATTAAAGAACAATAAAAAAAATAAGGTTTCATCCAGCAGGAAATAAATAATTTACCATCACTAATCCCTTTCTCCCTATGTGTGTTTGACTTCTTCTCTGCTTCTCTTGCTGCATTGCCCACTACAGTTCAAAGGAGAACATGCCAAGAACTGAGCCGCACAGACCTCTGCTACATCCACCATCTTCTCCACCCCTCTCCTGTCATTCTGAACGGTGTTGTAGGATGTGTATACACGAGGTTGCTTCATATGCTCCGGCTGAGAAGAGGTCCCATGCAAAATCAGCTTCCAGTTCACAATTCTCCCTTCATTTTGCATTCTTCCAGACTAGTGGATAAGCATAAATATTTCTTACTGTGTATTTTGAATATGAAACAAATTCATTCAAAATATTAAAAAATCTCACAGTTAAAACTAATTTTAAGATTTTGTACATTCTATGTTCAGAGCTATTTTTCAAAAGAAACAATTGGATTTACTCTTCCTATAAAAATTGACACTTTATAAGTTAAACAGTTTAAGGATATTAATGGCTTCATAATCAACCATTTGTTAAAAACACAGCTCTCTATATAAACCTTCTTTTCCTTATTAGTTGGGTTCTTAAAAAGTTGACTGTCTCTGAAATCTAAAATATCTAAAAATGAAAAATCTAAAGGTGCAGGGTCAGATTGTACAGACTTGTTGTAAAGTAGACCCACCTTGTAAACCGATTCTCTTGGTTTCCTGATGGTGAATAGAGGACAAGTTTAAGAACAGGACCACCAATTGGGAACAACAACTTTCATTTCTAAACCGTGACTTTAGCAATCCTAAAGATTGCTATTCTTACAGAAAAAAGGTGATTATGTAAATTACTATACATATCTCCTGATTTTAAGTGACATCTTTAGGAATTTAAAGTACATCCTTTTAAATAGTTATCTAGGCACTGAATCTACAGTTCTGATACTTATTATTCATCTCTCAGAAGAACTCAGTCATCCTTCACTTATATTCTCATCTGTGAAGAATATAAATGTTGGAGAAATGATGAAAAATAAATAATTCAGCTGTTTTAGGGAGTTTGTCTGACACTTTTGCCCTGCTCTTTTATTTTTGTGACAAAGTAATAAAATTTGTGAAGGCTGTCAAAGAACACTAGCCATAGGTTCACGTTCTGTTTTTGAAATGCTGGCATCAGAAGTGTTTCCGACTTCTAAGTTTTTCCAGTTTTGGAATATTTGTACAAGCTTTGCCAGTTGAGCATTCTTAATCAAAAAATCTAAAATCTAGAATACTCCAAAATCCAAAACTTTTGAGTATCATTCCAACTCAAAAAAAATGAAATGAAAAAACAAATAGGGTTTTTTTATGACTAAAACTAGAAAAAAGTCATATTAAGTAAGGAACCTTGTATAAATTAAGCTACATCTAAATAAGCAGTGCAGAATAATTGTAAGGGTACCTTCATTCTACTCAAATTGAGTATCATAGCAAAGCTGGCTGAGCATTTGGCTATAGTCATGAATATGGTTGATTCTAATGGCCATAGGTCATGTGGCTGGCTGTACTCAGACATGGGACCACCTGGACTTGTCCCATAGCCTGTCACATTGTTTAGCAGTATACTTTTTCTTCTTCCTTATATTGGGAATGGTGCTTAATCTTTTAAAACTGGTATATATATAACTTTTCTTTTTCTACTAAAGAGTGGTCAAATTCTTTAAGGACTTAATGATTGTATCAATCTTAAAAGTGCTTCAAAGTGTTTAGAAATGACCTTGTGTTTTTTCATCTTATTTATACTTACCATGTCTGTAATTCTCAAAGTCCAGGTGCCTACTGGATTCTCTCCCCATGTGTGAACAGACATGAAGTCCCAATTCTTAAAGCCATTAGGGGATGTGTCCCGCTCCCTTTCAGCCAACAGGACAGTGCTGGTTCCTATTTTTACACAACGAACTCAAGTTAATGAATGTCCTAACGGCTCTGATGGTAAGACTCTAGCATCTGCTAGCTGGAAATGGAAGCTGGGAGAGATTAGTCTTCCCATAATTTTTCCTTTTTTGTATTAATACCAAGACAAAAAATTCACAAGAGAAATAATGATGTTTTTATCCACAGTATGTAGCACATTGTCTTGCATATGATAATTTTTTAAGAAATATTATAGATAAATAAATAGTAAGTGAATATGCTGATGAAGGTTTATTTGAATAAAAACTGAGAACTATATTTATGAATTAGATTGAATAAGAGAGTCAAAGATATGAAATATATTTTAGTGGAATTATCATTTTGAAATGTAAAAGAAAATCTTGAAAATTAATCAGTGCTTGAGTATTGTAATGTAGATATAAAAACTAACTTACCACTTAATTATTAATTACCATTAATAATTTAATTTATTAAAAGATCTGTTAATTTCATAATCTCTTATAAAAACTAATAGTGAGAGTAACTTTAAATGTGCAAATCCAAGCTCTGTATAGATCAATAAATAATGTTACTTTCTAAGTAAAAGAATCAAATAAGCTATAGATCCATCAGTGCAAAAAAACCATCCTACCAGTATTTCAGGCCAATTTCAAGACATCTAGAGAGCAAAATTCTAAAATCAACAAAGCCCACTCCAAACCTCCAGGAATTTATATGCTAGAAAGGGATCACAGAGGTAGCTCATTTTTTCTCATCTATTACTATAAAAATTGAATTTAGTCAGTTGAGTCCTATCAAAATATGAAACAGTACTGGGACAATGCCTCATTGGATTGTGGTTCAGCTCATCTTAATTAAAACACCCTTAGGGCAAATGTCCGTATGTCCTATCATATGACCTTATCAATATCATTGTGGGGATGTTATTAGTCTTTTCAATCTTTTAAGAATCAAGATTTTCAGTTTTTCAGTTGATTCCTTTGATATGTCAGATATATGTGCAAGTATTGTTAATTGATTAACTCTCACTAACATTTTCCCTAAGAGAAATAAATGGGAGATCAGTAACCTTGGAAACTGAGCATAGTTTGGAAATGGATGACTTCAGAAAGTATTATTAATTGGCATTTTTTGAACAGGCTACATTTTTAGGTTGTTTAAGAACCAGTGAATGAAAAAGAAAAAGAAAAAAAAAAAAAAACCAGTGAGAATGAGCAGGGCAGAGGAAACCTAACACCAAGGAAAATAAGCATGTTTTTAATACTTTAGAATGCATATTAGGAGACTTAGTTCTATGAATAAATAAAAACAATCATTGGTTTGAAATCATTTAATTTATACTTAAAATTTGAATGGTTAAGAAGAATTTTTAAAAAAAAATTTACCAGCAGCAGAAGTGAGTGTGACATGAAGGTCTCCTCTACGGGAATATTCAATTGTTGCTTCAAATTGCACATGTTCCAGGGACTTGATGGCATTTTCTTGTCCTTCACAAGCTCTGGTTGGGATGTCAATGATGACTTCTCCATTGGCTTTCAGGGCTCTAAGTACATTAAGGAATCAGCATTCAATAAAGTATATCTCTTCTTTCATCACATGTACACATCATTCTTGGTTAGTACTCAGCTAGACTGAGTAGAACTCAGTTTAGGATTAGTTATAAATGAATTTAATGCATAAGAAAAATAGGAAGGAACACAAATACTTAAATATGGTGTTACTTGTTGTAAAATCAAATTCAGGCAGGGTTGTCTTGGATCCATTAAAAAAAAAGATAGTAAAAAGACCCTCTTAGGAAAAAATGATTTCATCTGTAAGACCTTGCTAGGTTAAAGCATGCTCCCAAATCCTCCAAGGCTTGAATGACCTTTCAGAATCATTATGAATGCCTTGACAGAAACAAAACATTTATGGAAGATTCTGCTTCTATGGCCAGATATAATGGGCCAGACGTGATCTACGTAAAAGGAATATGGTAAAGGATCGTACAAGGAAGAAAAGCCATGAATCACATAGCCCTATAGCATGAAGTAAGGCTATTTTGGAAGTAGGTGTTAGGTAATCTTGGGTGGCAAGTACTAATTTTATCTGTCTTAAGATGCATTTTAAGAAATTAACATCTTTGAGTTGAGAATGAACTGACGGTTGGTTGGTCATAGTTTGACAATGTTTGTCTACATGGCACATAAAATGACAGTGCATCTTAGACTTAATGCTATGTGGTAGGTAGTCTGCAAGAAGAAAATGCAGATATGCTAACATGATTTATTGGTCTGCTGTGGAAGCCACAAAGAACACTGACAAACTGCATCTCTACCTACTTCAGAAAGGTAGATATGCAAGAAAGAAAAAGAGTGACAGACACCTTAATCAAATTGTGACATAGGAACATGTTTTTTTAAAATTCTTGGAGATACTTACCTGGGCTCAAAGTCATTGTCTTTTACAACACATTCTTTCTTCTCAGGCACAGTGTTCCAGGTCTTGGGATCAGCTAAATCTACAAGAGCTTTGGCATTTAGCAAGCCAAATCCAAATCGACTATTCACCATCAAGCCTGCTCCATTCTTTTTCCAGCCAGGGTTATTGGCCAAAGGGTCATACTCAGAGGTCCAGACGACCAAGTGCTGCATATCTCGCCAGGTGAGACTTGGGCTACAGGGGAAGTGACCCAAAATGTCTTTCAGGGACAAAATGAAGTTCCCTTCTAAAAGCAAGTGCTAAAAACAAACATCTCCATTCAGGGATTATTAAGTGCCTTTTGTAATTATACTTATTCTAGTGCCCGCTGGTGTGCTTTGTTATTTAGAACTCAAAATACAGTATATCCTATTGTAAACTGCCACCTATAACATGTCAGTAAGCTCTTACTATGAGTAAAATTCAATCCTTAGCATTGTTGAAGTATAAAACTGTCCCTGATTTCTAATTTACATTTTACTGGAGCAAAAAAGTTAAACGACACACTCCTTTCTGTCTTCTAGTTTTATGCTGGCCAAGAAGACACTTAGCATGTTCAGTATTATGAACACATGGATGATGCCTTGACTTTTCTTAGAAAGAGTTAGATTTGAAAGGCAGGGGCTAGCAACCTACTCTTAACCACATTTTGCCTTTTTTGTTTTTATTGTCAACCCTCCACATCCATGGGTTCCACATCCTCAGAGCTAACCAACTATAGATAAAAAAATGTTTAGAAACACTGCATCTGTACTGAACACATAGAACTATTTTTCATATCATTATTTCCTAAACAATACAGTGTAACACAATATTCACATTGCATTGGGTATTATAAGGCATCTAGAGATGATTTAAAGCATAAGAGAATATGCACATAGATTTTTTAAAATAAATACTATACCATTTCATTTAAGAGACTTCAGTATCCACAGATTTTGGGATCTCCAGGAAGTCCTGGAACTGATCCTTGGCAGATACTGAAGGCTGAACTATTTAAAAACTGACAAGAAACTCTTAGCTATATAAGATCATCCTTGCAAGACCCTGTGTTAAATATTGTGAAGATATTCAAGGAGGTGGCTTAAGATGCTTACAATCCAGTAAAAAGAAAAAAAATGAAGTCTTTTTATAACTATCTGTTGAATGCTGTATTCATAACTTAATGTATTATGACAGGATAGGGAAGGAATTTTCATGGAATGGGAAGACCTAGGAAGGCTTTTCTGGGAAGAAATTTTTTGAGCTGAACTTGAAAGGGTTGGTAGAATGTCAAGAAGAGAGTACCAGCAACCATAGTAAAGCACCAAGGTAAGGGTATAGAGGGTGAGGCCAGATTACACTCAGGAGTGCTGGAGCAGGGAAGAGGAGATGAGGAGTACTGACCCAGAACAATGAGGATCCTGAATGTCACAAAAGGGAGCTCATATTTTATCCTTTGGGCAGTAGGAATCATTCAGGATTTTTGACAAGGAAGAGGTAAGGTCAGAAGTTGTGGTGAGATTATTTTGGCAGCAATATGGGTAAATTGGCATGCAATTGTTTGATCTATTTCAATGAGGATCTCTTTGATTTCTCTAGGATTTCAATCCTCTCACAGGTTCTTACCTGTGAGAGTAACTCAGAACTCTTACCCTTCTATACGTTTTCTCTTTCTAAGGCACTTACCACCTTCTAACATACTGGACAACTCATTTATTTTGTGTATTATTAGTGTCTGTCTTCTTCGCAAGAATTTTCTTCCGTGATATGTACCAAACACCTAGAATAATACTTGGCACAAGACGATATGCTGAGTAAATACTTGTTGGTTGAATGAATGAATATACATACCTATGTTAAACAGCATGCTATAATTTGAAAACTTATTGCTATTACTGATTAGATTGTTTTAAGACCTTAAGCTTTTCCTTGCCCTCCAAACACCATGCATTGTTTCCCTCAAGCCAATCAAGCATTAGTTAATAAATAATGTGCAAATACTTACTCCTCAAGGTTCTTATCTACCACAAGGCTTTAGAACAATCACCAAGGGAATCTGGCTTAATTTGCTACATTCTCCCCGGAGCCAATAAAGTACTCGTTAAACAATGCACTGATAGTAAGAAAGAGTCTAAATGCTGAGGAGTTGGGTGGCCTGGTTAAAAATCTGTGTGTTTTCAGGCCTGACTGTAGGTAATTACAAAGACTTCTGTTGGCAGGCTGTTGGCCAGCTTGGTGCACAATCAATGTATTACTGTCTGTGAAGAGAGTCAAAGTCAGGGTTTTGGTCCTTCTGGCCTATCATGCTCTTTGCTTACATGCACTTCCTAGCCCCAGTGGGTGAGTGCCTTCATTCCTAGGTCACTTTTTCTTCAGGGACCTCTGTGAAGGCTTCCTTAGGGAGGATGGAGGATAAACCATAAAGACACTTTCCCCCACTCTGACTTAGTAGCCTGTACTTTTCCACTCCTGCCCTCCCTCAAGCCCCTTCTGCATACACGCCACAGGGTCCATAAAACTGCTGGATTATGACTCTCTCAACAGTGAGCTGGGTCCCAAGTCCATGCTGGTCCACCTGGCTCATGTGCTGTTCCACGGAAGGAAAGAGAACTGGACTAGTCTGCGTTTTCTCTCGTTTTACACTCTGGCTTATACCAGAGCAGTAGGTAATTAAAGGCTTAATTCTTTCATTTTCGCTTGTTGCTTTAATGGGTGTCTCCAACACCTGAGATCTCAGCATGCTCTCCCTCCACTGAGCTGAGTTCCTGTTAGACATATACACCACTGAGCCTCAGGGAGGGACTGCCGGAGAAGTAAGGACTTCAGCTCAGTGATTCTCAGAGGGTCTCAGACCACTTGCGTCACAATCACCAGTAAATAATGAAAACAAGGAATGAAAATTCCACCCCAAATTTTACTGGTGAAAATGTTTGAGGGGAGAGCATGATTTTATATTTATATTTGAAAAAACTCCCACTTTCTAACTAGTTCTGTGTTACAGCAAAAATAATAGAAGTTGGTAAAAAGATTACAAGCATATGACCAATGAAGATAATTATGTCATTTCAAATCACAGGACCAGAACAGGTGGCAATAGGATACAAATTAAACTGTATTCTACTGCCAAAGAAGTTTATGACTGTAAGTCTGACTACTTTATCTCTCTGAGCCTGAGTTTACTCATCTAAAATATGAGAGGGTTGGTTATAATGATCTCCAGAACTCCTGACTATCCAGATCTTCTATCTGCCTAACGTTATAAATGCCTCTTTGTAGCTCTTGTTTCTTTGTTGGCTATCCCACATTCAGGAATCATTAGTTAGTTGAGCAGAAATTGCAAGTTTCTGAAGGTAGAAACTAATACTGTCCATAAAGCATTTTATTGAAATGCTTGTTTCTTTTCAGTCTTTTAAAAGGAGTTTTAAACAAAAACCCCTTTATCAAGGTAATCAACAGCAACCAACCAGTTTCTCACTCGGGTCACCTGTGTGTACAGGCATGTGTAAGAGGGATGGGGGGAGAAGGATACTAATCATATACAAATGGTAGACTTTCTGTATTTCCACTGTAAAACATTTCTACTTAGTTGCAATTCTTATTGTGTTTCTAGTTTTTTTTATCTAGTCTTAGAAAAATATTTAAGGAACTTCCTTGTCATGCAATTAGGAAAATTAAACATTCTTAATAGTTATTCCTCATTTGTGTGCCTACATTTTGCAAATGAAAAGGAGCAGCTAACAATAGTGCAACTCATTATTGACAGTCTTCCCTTATTAATTAGTGTTCAAAAGCCTCCAAAATAATTAAAAATTTGAAAATGCACTGCATTGCTAACCAAAGATATGTTAATAGAAAATAAGGGTTATAGAATTAAACATTGAAATTAAACATTGCTTCTCATTAGAAGAAATGTAGGTAAAGTCATCTGGAGATGAAATTCCAGAGCAAAAATTCTCAGGAGCTACCTGGTTTGGCCTCTAGTCTTATCTAAGTGAATCCAGATGTTGAACATTTTGTAATGTTAACTTTCCAACATTTCACAATCCACCAGGATTTTTGTTGTTGGGATTTTTCCCAAAGGCTTTATGTAATATTGAAAGTTCATTTCGCTTTCTCCAGACATTAATAACAGTTTAAGATTGGCTCACCTGTTTGCTTAATAGCTCCAGTGGTATGAAGGGATTCAATGGTTCACTTCAAGTTTTTTCTTCCTTATTAAAAATCATTCTGATTCTTTTCATCTTGCTTCAGAAGACTGAAGAAAGCTTTCTTTGCCTGCCAGCTTTCTTAGATTTATTCGCTACATACTAATGATGGTGCCATAGGCATTTGTGCAAAGAATTTCTTTCTCTTAAGTTATTTTTCTCTTTGGGATTTACCTATTAAGTGCCCTAATGGGCATCTTCTCAATCAAAGCTGGATGACATTGTAGGAAACATAGTTCTTTATGGCAGTTGTCTTTCAAAATTTGGTTAAAGTACTACTGGCATTAAAACTGCCAGGGAGGCAGGTGCTGGTGGCTCACACCTGTAATCCTAACTTGGAAGTCTGAGACAGGGAGGATAGCAGTTAAAGGTGAGCCCAAGAAAAGAAGTTTGTGAGACCTCATCTCAACATGGAAAAAGCTGGGCATGGTGTTGTGAGCTGTCATCCTAGCTATAGCTGGATGCATAAAACAAGAAGATCGAGGTCCAGGCTGGCTTAGGCAAAAAGAGAGACCATATCTCCAAAATAATCAGATAAAAAAGGGCTAGAGGCATGGTTCAAGTGGTAGAGCACCTACCTAAAAAATGAGAAGCGCTGAGTTTAAACCCAGTACTGTCAACAACAATAACAACAAACCTGGGATGCTTCCTGGACTGCATATCAGAAACTTCTGAATCTGAGTTTCTGGCAATATGATCTGGAAATCGAAGTGTCAAATAGACTCGTACAGTGAGTATTACATGCACTGGTGTTAAAGGTTCACTGTTCTAAGGAAGGAAATTATTCTTCTGTATATATTTCCGCTAGAAACTTTCTTTCCCATTCCCTGTCTGCATACATTTAATGCAGCAGAGTAAGTAAGTAGTCTGTAACTGGAAACTTATATGATCTTAGAGATCATGTCCACTCATATCAGCCTCAGTCTTCTTAGCCCTCTTTTATTTGTTGGGATGACAGGCTTCCACTCAACATTCCTCTCCCTATCAGGGCCATGAGAGGCAGTACTGTGTAGTTTCTGGTAACACAGCTTCAGGGTCAGACAATGAGAGTTTGAATCTTTTTGTGAGATTTTGGTTAAGATTTTGATTATATTCCTCAACCCCTCTAAGTCTCAATTTTGTCATTTATAAAATACAACTAATAATTTATTATAAGAATGTTGCAACGATTAGAATTAATATTGTATGTACAAGATTAGTATAGTATCTGGCCTATGGTAAGACCTGATAAATATTGAATTTTTCTTGACAATTTTAGTCAAGAGCTCTTCAGCCTCCATAGTTGTGCACAGTTGGATGATTCTTTCAATCTTGACTGTCTAGAGATAAAGCTTAATCTTTCTTCTATATAATCTGGCATTTGGGTTTTCTGATAAAATAGCCTTGGGATAGGCAATTGAATAGAGTTTAGAAAACCATCTAATTGTGAACAGATATCCCAATAATCTCTATGTACTTTGGAAGGAAGGATATAAATTTTAAGATAGATCATGTCCTTCTTACTGATGAATGGAATCAAAATGAAGGAAATTAAATTCTTATGCACCTGGGAGATCACAGACTCTTCTTAATGCCCCTTAAATCATGAATACTATGAGAATCTACTGTAACCTACAAACCATTTCCCAGAAAGATTCCATACATAAACCCATAAGTAATTCTGCATTTAGTACCAAGGAGATTCGTGGGCCCTTTGAAAACACCAAAATATTTTGTAACAATGGAGTTACTGCTTTAGAAATAGCCTATCAGAGACTAATGAGACAAATGAGGCTACATTATTCTTAGATCATTTTTCCCTTGTATAGAAAAAGGTTTCAAGTTTGTGAAAGTGGGGAGTATAATTTAAATTTTTCAGTTCTTATATGAAATTAATACTTTAACTGTTCAGCTAGGTGGGTATTTCTTCTATATTGGTCACTACACAAAAATGGGTTAGGCTTGACTAATTATATTAGTATCCATTTGACTGGTGTTGAGTAAAGAAGAAAAGCTCCGTACTTAAAATTTTAAGGATGATTTTCTTTGAAGCGCTTTCTGTGGCTAAGTCTGTCTTCTGCAGTCATAAATATCACAAACCTGTTCTATGTATTCTTCCACCCTAGATCTCTTACTACCAAACCCAGCAATTCCTGTTCAGATCTGACAATCATATAAAGGGAACACATTTGAAAAAATGGTCTGATTTGACTCTTTTACTTTACAGATGGAAAGATGGAGCCCTGACAGGAGAATTAATCTGCCTCGGGCCACACAGCTAGTGGTATAGTTAGAACTTGAAACCAGGTAATCCCTGCAAATTTCACTATTTGGATTATTTCCTCTCAACATTGGTTTGGATATGCTGATGCAAATCTTAGCTTGCATCTGTAGATTTTGTCCTCTTTCCATTTCCTTCTTATTATAAGTATATTAAGATTCTGAACATAGTTTTTCTTTCAGGCCCAGAATCTTTGATTGAACACCTGCATTTGCTTCTTCCCTTATCAAACAGCCCTTCTGAATAGATAGACCCTTGAGAAGAGCCTTGGTAGATGGTCTTGCTTAGCCACTGCGCCATCTCATCACTGAGATATGCAGGAACTCTGACCCATCTATACAGGGAGCCCCAGAGCTCCTATAACTACACTGGACTATCCCGGAAAAAGGCTTATCTGTTTCAGGGCTTTCCCACTTAGAGTAAAGATGTTTGCTCTTCTGCTTCTGTGAAACTTGTCTACCAAATACAACAGGAGAGGATTGCTTTGCCTTTTCTCTGGGGAAATGTACCTTCTACTTGGATAACCTCCTCATTGGAAAGGATGAAGCTAATGTATAAGAGTAGCCATCACCACGCAACATGAGAAAGCAGATGTGCAGTGGGAGATAAGTAGATTTTTTCCCCCTTGTTAAGTATTGGACTATGGAGTAACCATCATGAGAAAGAAATGCTTTTAATATCATGCACTAAAATAAATTCAAAGAGGATTTGGAATTTAAATATAGTAAAGAAGCTATAATAAAAGACAAATAAATGTTAATCTAATATTGGATAGTTAAGACTTTTCTGAGGATAAAAGCAAAGAAAGAATCCTTAGAGAAACAGAACGGCAAACATAACTATACACATATAAACTTCATTACATTAAAATTGTCTATAAACCAAATTAAAAGGTAAATGTCAAACTGAGAAAGTATAATAGCTTTTCTGAACCAAGGCCATAAACCAAATCGGGGGAGGGAGGATAAAGGAGAGATGTGGAGGGGTGATTTCAAGTATGATACATTTGATACATTGTAAGAACTTTTGTAAATGCCACAATGTAACCTGAAATCAAGAAAAAAAAACAACAAAAAAATCAAGACCATAAAGAAGAAGTTATGGAAGACAAATGGCCAAAGGATATAAAATACTGAGTTTCATTAATAAAGCAGTAAAAGAGTATTAATTGAGATACCATTTTCACCTATCAAAATAGCACACACTTTAAAAGTCATTTTGGTAAGTGTTTCAGAAACTAACACTTTCACCCATACAGTCCTAGTGGGAATATAAATGGAATGGCTTTTCAATATGTATCAAAATCATAAGAACATGCCTGATCTCTGACCCAGAAATTCATATTCTGAGTGTTTTTTCTGAGGAAATTATCATAGATCACAAAAATTTATATGGATAAGAGTGTTTAAGCATGATTAGATGACGTTACTAAAATTTGCACTCATATAATGGATTACTATAAAAATCTTATCTTTCATTCTCATGTCCCCTGATGTGGTATGTCAGCTTCAGAACTAGGTTTATATAGCATTTTTAAAAATATATTTTATAAACTTTCTGTTCCTAATATGATCCATGGGAAATTATATGGACAAAATTCAGCCTAAGATGAAGAAAGCCTTGGAGCTGAGTGGAAAGAGGACTACTGGGAGAACATTAATTTTTAAAGGTCAAGGAGCATGAAATTAGATATGAGAAAGTATTTTTAATATATTACACAGTAGATTTAAAGAAAATTACAAAATGATGTATATTAAGATTGCAGTTTTGTAAGATATGACTGTATTAAATCTACATTGAGATGTAAACAATGGTTAGCTCTAAGTGGCAGAAAAATTGCTTATCTTTGTTTTGTGCAGTTTTCCACAATTTCTCCTATACCCACATGTTCAGGAAACAATGTGCATTATTAGAAAGAAGAAATAGTCTCAGTAAAGGTAATTAGAAGCCTTTTGGGCCTTACTTTGCTTCCAAGGCCAGAGCGAAGATGCCAGCAGCCAGGGGCGCAGAGGCCGAGGTGCCCGTGTGGGTCTCTGTGCAATCGTTGTGCAGGTCAGCACTTGTCTGGACAGCATCAGGGAGGAGAGAAAGGTGGGGACATGTGAGGAAGGTGAGAGGGGTAACCATACCAAGATCTGCATCTGCTATGACCAGGAAACTCAGCTAATTCGATTCCCTACTTCCTCCTCTAAACCATGGGCGGATGTTTGCCATCTGCTGGTATTTTAGTTCACTCTCCTCTATGTGCAACTTGTCTGTAATTCTGGCAGCAAGATGCCTTTTCTGGGGATGAAGTACTCCCACTAAGAATATTTTCTCTTCCGAGGTTCCCAAACGAAGTGTCTATAAAAAAGGAACTGTTTCAGAATCACTGTGAATCATGCTGACCCATTAATCATCAGGTCCATTGTGTGGTCTGGCATATTTAGAAATTCTGCCTCATACAAAATTCCCTCTGGCCTCCAGACTGACATCTGGCTATCTCTGCAGCATATGGATGTGAAGCTATTTTCCTCTTAGCCACCTGAACTACTAGGACAAAAGTTGCTTAGTGTGGAGTTTGTACACTTTTGACTACATTGGACGACCATGACTTAGTGTCCACATTTGCACTCTGAAAGAAATGGCATGCTCTCAAAATAAAAAGTGTGCTGGACATAATTCTGGGCTCAAATTCTAGAACTGCTACTTATTAGATGTGTCCCATGGGCATATCACTTGCTTCTCCCATCTGTAAAATGAGGTTTACATTTCCTGACTCATCTTCTGAGGCTTGGGCTAGATCCTATTTTTTGCACAATATTATTGCATATAAAAATTATGCAGACTAATTTTAGGTTAATGAAGAGGTTACTGAGATGAAGCAAAGAAACCAAAAAGACCTCCAATCACTTTGCTTTAAGAACTTCAGAGCTGCTGCCTGAGCAAGCAGTTGGGCCAAAGGATTACTAACGAGACACCCACCAGGACTCCAGTGCTAGAGTTTTTAGCTAGAGATTTCAATGTGTGGGAGGGAGGTGTAAAAAAATAATTTGTTCTATTATCACCTCCTTTGGCTTCCCACATAGAGTCACTGGCTTTCTCAAGTTATGGTGGCTGTGCTCCTCAGAGAGCTGCGGAAGCAAAGATGCCCTTTTTACCTGTTGACGCAAATAAGCCCCCAGATATGACTGTGCTGGGGAAGAGGTTTGCGTAAGAAAAAAAAAGCTACACTACTGCAACTCTCTCAAATAGAATCAGTCTACCAGCTGGCTCTCCCAGGGCTGGTTTATCTAAGGAGGGATCGTTACAAGGGTGGAAAATCTTCCCCTGCACTGGTGTAAGGTAGACCAGAGAAGGGGCAGAGGCTTAGGAAATGTTAATTCTAAAGTGTGTAACAGGCCATTTTCTAAAGACAGCTCTGAATCCCCAGAGGAATGACAATAGCCAGGGGCTCTGAACACAAGTGGGGCAGATGGCTGATATGCCCCTTTCAAAGACTACAAAGTATGTCTTCCATAAAGAACCCTTGGGTAGAATGTCACTGTCTATTATTCTAGTAGCATGATAGGGGAAGGCCAGCACATCTAAGTGGAGACCACACAATTTTACTGCCTAAACTAGATGCAGAAATAGGCAGAGTTACAAAAATAGTAATCCTATAATGAAGATGACATTAGCGCTGATAATTTTGTTGAGAAGCCATTAATGGGAATTGTATACACATTCCAAGGTAATTATTATGGGTTTGCCCACAAGCTAATTGTATTGTGACCTGCTATTTCATTGAGATTAGGATCTACATATTTTAGCTAGTTGGTTTTTCCTGTGTCAGGACTTAAAATTTGAGGCTTTAATTTTTTTAAATTAAAACTGCCTCTCTTTGTTCTTAAAGCCTCCAAATGGTCCTTCATCATTGTACCCTTGAAAGGAAATCCAATAATTGCCCTGGGTGGTCTGACTCACAGAAATGAAGGTTCAGGCAAGCGCAGGCTGGAGGAGCTCTTAGAGCATTCACTATCCTGAGCCAAGTGCCCAGATGCTGAGGGGTTCACCTCTGGGGAAACTGAGACTGTTATTTTCCTGCAGGTCATCTGTACTTAGGAAACATCTGTGGTGTAGACATTGTATTTTTATCATTTGCTGAAGGGCAAGTCATACTATATCCCTGTCATTAAAGGATCAACAAGTACAAGGGTGCTAGGCCCCTACAGCCCTGGAATCTCCTTTCAGCCTATTTCCAGGGAAGCATCAGACAAGCACAAAAGGTATTTGGAGACTTGCTGTATGTAATGACAGGTTTGGTGGCTTCTCAGGGCTGAGTTAAGAAATGACAGAGAGGGAAGATCATCTTGGCAGAGGTGTCATTATCCCTGGAGATAAAATATCCCAGTGTGCACCAGCCTTTCAAGTGAGTAAGCATTAGTCTCCCCGACTAAGACATCAAACTTAAGCAAGACATCCCCACCAAAGTCAGGAGGGTCATTCTGAATGCAAGCCATGTTCTCCTACCTAGGCAGACACTTAGACAAAAGCAACATACGATTCGCTGGTCGGTGTAATCCCCACTGCTGTAAGAGGTGGCCAGTGTGGAGGAGCACTTCTCAGCATACCACGGAGATAGGCCTTGCTGGGAGGCGCTGCTAATGGAGATGGTGTAGATGCTGTCTGTGTAGCCATCACAGTCGCAGTTATCTCCCTGGCGTCCTCCATTCCCAGAAGCCCAGACAAAGATAGAGCCCTTTCCTTGTCTCCCCTAAAGAGAAAAGCCAGAATGTATAGCATCTATTATCATCTATTAGAGTCACTGTCAAACCTTAGTAAATAAATGCATGAAGGTCTCAACCTTCTATCTCTAACCTCAGGCCCTCAGCATCAATGTCAGAAATCTCCTTGCATGGAATATTGTAAACCAGGAGACTCTGGCCTGGTAGCCTCCTGTAATCTGGGCTCTCCCAGGTGGGGCTGTGCAAGTGCTTTTCTTTATTATGCAGATTCATAATCTAGCCTTTAGTATTTGCTGGTAATTTTTTTACACTTCCTTTGGCTTGTGTCACTACCCTTGAATGTTTGAACTTCCTCTTTTTCTTTCTGCCTGAGTCTTCTGCCTGACTGATAGAATGACAAAATCAGGCATTATTCAGATCTGCCTCACAGCTGCATTAACAGGGACTTTTGAATTGAATGGAACTCGTGAAGGCCACTCTTTCTATGACTTCAATTTGTACTCTCTGAAGTTTGTACTTTTGTCTCCTCTTGTATAGCAGTACAAGGCTTTAGAATCTGTGCAAGAACGCAGCAGAGCCAAGTGACAAAGCAACTGATGAGGCACAAGTATTACACAGGCATGTTTACAGCAGAAGACAACATGGTTTGGGAAACTTTTTTAACCCCAAACTTCTATCCTTCTGAAGAATGATTCAGCTTTCTAAGTGCATTTAAAATTGAGAAGGGCTTTGTCAAGAAGTTCACCACCTAGCTCAGGGCCAGAGTACTTGCTTAGTATGTGTGAGGGTCTGGGTTCAGTCTTCAGCACCAAAAATGACTATATGTATTAAAAATATGTATATAAATTATATATATGTACTTATAAATATATATATTCCAGTCATCACACAATTTGTAGACTTTTTTGTAAACTTATATTCATTCCTATTTTTTTGTTTGCAGTGTTGGGGGTCAAACCCAAGGCCTCAAGCAGATAAGGCAATGTGCTCTATCACTATATACCCAGCCCTCACCCACTTACTAAACACTGCTCACTGTGTACTGTGTACTATGAAAAAGAGAGGTACAGTCTCTTTCCTCTTGAGGTTTTTCATATTTATGTTACTTAACATTTTAAAAAAAGAAAAGAAATTCATCACCATTTCTTTTTATATAATCTAAGTGTTCTTCCATTCTCCTCATATACTAAGGATATCGTTTTACCTCATTTGAGTCTGTATTAAGCATCTCACCTGTTTGACACCATATTCAAAAGCTTTCTGGGCTAGTCTACCAGGTCCCTCCACAGTTTTCCCATCATCATTAGGGCCCCAGCTTGCACTATAAATATCCACATGTCCAGGGTTGAATCCAATTGAACTGGCCTCAATAGCATCAGTCACAATGCCATCCAGCATTCTTATGCCTGAGCAAAACAAAGAAACAAACACAAAGGTTGGTGCTAGTGTATACCTATAGAAAAGACCACTCTTACTCATATTTTTATAGAACTCTCAAAACAGTCAAAAACAAGGTAGCCTTTTGATGTCACCAATGCCTGTGACCCAGCTACCCAGCATAGATAGAAAGGATAAGTCAATACTCCTGCAAGTATTCTTATCTGCTATGTACAGATAATTCTGTGCTCTGTGGGGCAGCTGTGTGTGTGTGTGCATGTGTGTGTGTGTCCCACTCAAGGCTCCATTCCCAGTAATACCCCTCCAGGTTGAAAAGGAGTAGCATGAAGTGGCCATGGTTGCCATCAATTACAAATGCCTTCCTTCTCAACAAAATGACAAAATAGCTTTTAGAGAAAAAAAAATTCAATAGCCCTCCCTCAACACACCTGCTCACGACTGCTACAAATGGTCGTGGCCCAGTTGGTACTGTACAAAGGATCCTCACAGGACACTGTGCAGCTTGGAAATATCCATCCACAATAGGAAACTAACAAATAAGGAAAGAACTCTTGTTTCTAAACACTGATTAAAAATAACCCAGAGGCCTTTCTTTTATGCATTTGCTAAGAAACATTTTCAAGAAATATGCTTCCTTTTCTTCTAAATAATATCAAGGATGAAATCATTGCCATGGATTTCACTCCTGAGGGAGAATCATTTTTCATCAGGAGATGGAAGACATGATAGCTCTGTGTGCTTTTCAACAGGCTGTCACCCACCATCAGATTCATGAATTCAAGAGCCAGAAAGGGAAAAGCAATTTGGACAGAACAGGCAGATACCTGGTTATTCCTCACTTCAGGCTAATAATGTAATGGGGTGCAGTCTTATATTTTCATGCTATTATTTACTATGGAGTAAAAATAAAAGCAGATGTAATTGACATGATCAGTGAAAGTCATATTTTTTCCTAAAAATGATTTATTCAAAAAATGCATTTGAATGAAGATATCTGAGCTCTGCATTTTAATAGTTTCATGATCTTGAGATACTTTACCTCTCTGTGCCTTAATTTTTTCAACTGTAAAATGTAGATGATGGTAACAGCTCACTTGCATTGAGGATATTTCACATGTAGCCGCCATTCCACAGGCATTACCCATGTGAACTCATGTATCCTTACAACTACCATTTGAGATGGCTGTTATAATTGTCTGCATTTTACAGGTGACTGAAGCCAGAGAGACACAGTGAATTGCCCAAGACCACACAGTTTGAAAGTAGGGAACCTGAACTTGACCCCCAAACTCTGACACCTACTCTATCCTATTAATGCAATCCTCTTTCTGTAATATATTATCAGGTAAGTGATTGACATATCATAGTTGCCTAATACATTAAAAATTATTGTTCAAATTAGGCCTAGAACATCAAAGGATGAAGTAATGGAAAAATTGGTAAGCTTAGAATCAGAAGCCTTGTTTCAGTTCTACACTGCTACTAACTAACTTTTGTTACCTTAAAAACCTTGTTTATTGTTCTTTGTCCAAAAAGAAAAAAAATTGAAGGATCAGGTGATTCCCACACAAATTATAGCTTTGTTTATCAGAACTTAAAAATGAATTATTTTTCTAGTTGATTACATAATTTGTATTTCTGCTTTTGCTTTCTTTAAATTAGCACAGCACTTTAAAGATGCAAGAATAGCAGAAATCAGGAATGATACTTAAAATCTCAGAGTCCTCTCTATCAGTGAGAAATCTCTCTATATAACCCTCTATCTAATCTATGTAATCATTCTATCTATCTATCCTATTTACTTACTTATATGCCAGAATGTGCATTGATTTGGCTTCTATAAATGATCTTTTTTGTGGTTATAGCTTTCAAAAACGAAACGAAGCTTAAAGTTTATTGCATAACCATGAAAGCACAAGATAGAGTATAAGGACAGGAGACAATTTTCACCTTCTCCACTTATGCCTGCAGACAACTTTCCACCCCTCTTCACTGGAATATGGATTGCATCAATGGGCTCTCCTGCCTTCCCACTGGGTTCAGACAACTGGTGACACCAGCAGAAGGGTGAGGATGAGAGGAGAGGTCTTATTCCCCTGGATCCTCCCTGCCAGGAAGCACCTCAGTTGCTGTGTGTAAGGCCACAGCTATTGTTCAGTGACTTCTACAGCAACAGCTTTTCCTCTCTGCTTTTCACTAACCTACCCTTTCCCCTTGCTCCCTTGGCTTAAAGGTGAAAACATCTTCCTATATTCATTAGTCCCTTGTTGGTTTTCTATAACTCATGTAAATAGTTTTTTTTTAGTTAAAATATCCTCAATTACCTTGGTAATTGAGAGTCTACATCCTTGTCATCAAAGGTAACCTTTGGCTACTTAATGTAACAAAAATACACTTAAATTTTTTGAAGCTGTTCTTTGCTAAAAAATGAAGAACTTTTATAGAATTGGAGGCCGGGAAAGTCTGCTTAAATTTACCTCCTCCTTCTGGTCCCTTAGCAAATGTTCTCCTAAATAAGAACATGGAGAAATTTAGATTTCATTCAAATGCTATTCAACATTTCCATTATTTTTTCTGCAAAGATGTATAGGCTATATTCAGCTATCCATTTTCTAGGAAGTCAGATCCACTGATTGGCTTGCAAATCACGCTCAAGTCCTGCAGCAAATTTTACATGGAACTCAATTCTTCCTCTGGTTGTAGAAAAGCCCACTCTATTCCCCCTCCATTTAGGACAGGTCATACAAGTCTCCAGTTAATGTGCCAAACTACAGGAACAACAACCTGCTGCTTTACCTCCAACTTTGGAATTGTATGCAACTCCGACCCCACATTTGTGATTATTTGCTTGCATGGCAATTTCTCCTGCACATCTGGTCCCATGTCTGAGGATTAAAAAGTAAGAATTATAAATCATTAATAAGGACAAGTATTTGTTTTGCACATGACTCCAGGGTACATGGGTATATTAGCTTCTTTTTTGCCAGCCTTGTTCCTGGCTTTCTTATCATTAGTTATTAAAAAGATTTATGTTTAGATGAAGGACACAGGTACTGGGGCCAAAACATGTGAGTTCAAATTCTGGTTTCTGACCTTGGGTCGGTCACTTATCCTCAAGGGTCATTGGCAGATCACATGAAGTCCTTGTAGTAGTGCAGTAAAATATTTGCTAACATATATTAGGAATTCATTAAGTGTTGGCTATTGACACTATGATGAAACCCCTGACATGCAAGAATAATGTCACAGACATGGCTTCTGCTTCTTACTTTTGGTAGTGAGTGGCTCCTCACCTTCCTCCCTAGTGATTGCCTTGGATTAGATTGTCCTGGACCAGCCTAGAAGAATATGGTAGGACAGAGTTTCCTGTAAGTCCTCTTCCTCTACTTTAACCACATATCACACTAAAACATCTCAGGATTTTCTGGTCCAAAGAAGTCTGAGATTTCAGGACACTACAGCCTAATTGGGAAACAGGGTACTCTTGCAATTCTGACCGGGGCCAGAAGCCTAAAAAAGTGGGTTTTGCAGTCAGGCAAAGAGGGTAATTGGTGATTTCAAATATTTATTGGGGAACTGACCTCTAAAACACACAAAATTCCTTCACTAAAGCATCAGTTCTGAAACTCTTGGGCTAATAATTGTCTTTTTCCACTCCCAGCCCTACTCAGGAGAGCCAATAAGTCAAGAGCATGTTAATGTGAATCCAGTTCATACATAATCCATGTGGAACCACCTGGGAGTGCTGTGAAGGCTGTTGGTTACTTGCAGGAGCCAACAGATATGCTGACAGAGAGGAAAAGAGGAGAGAGGTACCTCTGAGTGACAATGCCAGTCAGCTACAGTGTGAACAATCTATCAATTCAGCTTGGCACAGAATATAAAATTCTTAAATTGCCTGGATCATCCAAAATAATTCTGTTTAACTTCTCCTTTGTGTGAGTGTGTATGTGTGTGTGTGTATAATCCCAAAGTCTCTGCCTTTATAAAAAGAGAAATTCTGTTGCCATCCTCTGAGAAATGTGCTTCCAGGAGTACCCACTGCCCATACTTCCATTTATATAGGATGGAAACAGGGCTCAATATAGCAAAAAAAAAAAAAAAAAAAAATCCAGTGCAAGCCTCCAACTTAAGCCAACAGACCTAACTTGACAAATATCTCCAACATTGTGGGGGCTCTGTCCAAAAAAATGACGTAATGTTGTGCCACCTATATTTAATCTGTGTTGACTTTTCTAGTGAACATTGTAGTAGAACTGTGGTACAAATATGGCTCCTCCTCTTATCCTTACTTGCCACTTTCACACACTGAGAAAAAAGGAAGATCTTATCAAAGTGTGTCTATGTCATTCTTCATAGACCTGCAGTTCTTTTTCTTTCCTAAATTAGGTACTGAGATTAAAAAAAAAAAAAACTCTTGACTTGGAACAATGGAAGTAGCTGGCATTTAAACAAATTGACTGTTTAAAAAATTATTCTACAAAATAGTCTAAAGACTACTATTATTCTGGTTAAAATATCCTTGTCACAGTTATTTATGTAGAAAAATAATCTGTAATTGGTGTTGAAATATTGAATACAGAGTCATGCCAGCTTAATAGTAAGAGTTACCTGCACTTTTATGATTTTTCTAATTTAGTGATTCCTTTTTGATTTTCTGAGGAGCATTCAAATATGGTTTCTATTAGTCTCACTTACATAGTAATAAAGAACAGCTGTAGGACTGAGTGTGTGGTTCATGTGGTTAGAGCACTTGCCTAGCAAGTGCAAGGCCCTGAATTCAAACCCCATTACCACCAAAAAATTCAAACTAAACCAAAAAGGCAACAACAACAAAACAGCAGTAACAGAGATGGTTTGGAGAGATAGGGCACTTGGAATTGGGAGATAATAGGTCTCCAATTGCTAGAAGACTAATAAAATGGACCCACTGATTTTTCAGACATGGGATTTATGCCTGACAAAATGCTAGAAGAGTTTTGAGGACATGCTTATTTATTGCATCTTTTGATAAATGATAAGGACGCTATCTGTTTAGATGATAGTCAAGAGAATTCTGAGTTAGTTGCTCATTGGGTCATTTTCATATAGCAGCTTCTGAATTGGCTGAAAAATTGACTTCTGCTTTTCCTCTTATCAGATGATATTATTTTGTCATGATGATTTCTCACTGAGACAAGGTCTACCTCCGTTGCTAAAGGAGAAATTTTGATACTCATTGTCGTCACTACTGATGTGATCATTACCATCATCAGCATCAACTCAGCCAGCACGTATTGAACTTCTTTATATATCATGCAGCACCCACAGCATTTATATAAACTCTTGTAATCACCGTAATAACCCAACTAAGTAGACCACCCTTTTAAAAATATGCTAAAACCTAATACAAAGGAGTTGAATAATTTATTCAAGGTCGCTCAACTATTTGCTTGATCTAAATCTGACTCCAAAGTCTGCTCTTAACTATTGGGCAGTGCAGTGCTAATTCCATGCATGTGTGAGGTCCACAGCACGCAATGCTCTGGAAGCTCAGAATTTTCAGGCAAAAAATAAGTAACATTATGTGTGGCTTTTGCAACTCTCTGGGCTGGAGAAAATGTAACTATTATGAATGTGTGGATCTGGATGCCAGGACCCAGCTGCATTTCTCTTGTCTGTTGTTAGGCCATGTTCTTCTGGGGAAACTATAAGCGTGGTTATGACCACCATAGAAAGTTGGGGTGATTTGTTCACATGTATTTCTTTATATTTCTTTTCATGATCAACATCACGTATGTTGCTGATAGTAAAAACTTCATGGAAGAATTGGTGGGGTTGGGGGAGAAGGCAGAGGGCTCAACATTTAGACTTACTATGTCCCAAACATTCATTCCAAAGCTAAAAGTATTTAGTAACACTCAAGATAATAATTCAATAAGATAAGGAGAATTTTATAGTAAGAAATTTAATTAAAACATGGTTCTATAAATCAAAAGGAATATAAAAACAGAAGCTTTGGTTTCTGTTTAAAAGCAACAAAACACTGCAGTATGGATGTTATGCATTAACATTTTCTAAGAGCTGAAATTTGGGTGAAATTTATAGTGTAATTCTCTCGAACAAGATAAAAGCATTTTTAACTACTTTATTCCCCCAAAATGCACATTTACTCACTTGTTCTCATTTGTGGGATCATATCGGGGAAATGGATCATGATCATTATCATTGAAGTCATAGCTGGCCTCTGGATCCTAAGGAAACAACAAAAATAATACTGTAGCATTACAAAAAAGGAGCACTTCCTGGGCTTTCTACCACTGTTTCTTTCAGTCCGAGCAGACAACTCCAAAGTCTGCATTTCAGTTTCTAACCAAGTCACTGAACATTCGTTATACCCACAAATCAGGCAGCGACGATGAACACAGCAAAGTAAGCCAGCATTCAATTCTCAGTGAATGTTACCAAACTCGTAGCTCACTGATGTTCTGGAAAAAGTCAGAGTTTAACAGGTTCAACAGCTTCATTTTTCAGATGAGAAAATGGAGGCCCAGAAAAGCTGAATGACTTAACTAAAACCAGAGCGCTAATTAGTGATACTTTGACATTCATCCCTATGACCATAGGTGCAAAAAGCTGGAGTTTAGGTCCATGATGGTTTCCTTCAGTCTTCACAGGTACAGTAAAATAAAATCCATATAATTTAATTATGGAGAGTGTAACTGAAATTCAAGAGAAGCTCCCAGGTCCCACCACCTTTCCCAATCAAATTGCTAAACTTAAACACCTCCCACTTAGGTTTCCTATTACCACAAGTGCTACTTCTCAGTATTTTCCATATCTTTTAATAATTCTTTGTTTCTATCCTATGCTAATCCCTTTTTCATCTCTTCTTTTTCTTGCATTTTCTTTTGCTCTTTAGTTTTGAGTTATAGTTGGGGAATGTTAGATGGGTGAAAAGGATGAGAGAAACAAAGAACAATCTTACAGATGAAATACACACTATTCTGATATAAAGACCAAAGATATATTATGGAGTTCACATTATATTATTAGCTTCATGAACAATTAAAACATAGCTTTCAACTATTTATTTTCCCATCTTTAGCTAACTTTATCAGCGTGGCACTTTTTCACTGTGTGGTGTTCACTTTGAATTCACATAGAACGAGTCACATTCACATAACTTCACAACGTCAAGGATACTGACCATAAAGGATTTGAGAGGAAGACTATAAAAATGATCTCAGACATCAGGCTTGAATTCATTGCTTTTTTGCCCTAAATTCCGAATGACTCACAGTCTGAATGGCTTTTAATAATTTAATTGGTGTAGGTAACGACCCCCCCCCACACACTTTTTCCCAACACACATGGTTTTGTATAATCCCTGAGCTCACTGAATTCTTCCAATGTCCACTGGTACAAAACAAGTTCATATGGGCAATAAAAGGGCCAAGGAAGGGGCAAAGCCTTGGTCTACTTTCCCAAGAGCTGACATCAGAGCAGCGTCCCCCTAGAGGAAGGAAAGCCCTGCATGTCTGCATAGACAGCTCCCTAAATTATAGTCATGAGATAGCTCACACTCACATAGTTGGCATAAATGTCTGTGTGATTCCACTCCAAGCCATCATCCAGTACAGTGATTACAACTCCTTTGCCTGTGATGCCTTTTTGCCACACAGGTATCACATGAAGATCCAGCTTTGGCAGGGCTGCAGTCATCCTGGTATCTTGCTAGTAATGAAAAACAAAGAAGCATTGATAAAATCATGATTTGCTTGCCACAAAATTGGAATTTAAGCTCTAACTTGAAGACCAATCTTTCTTTTTCCTTGGGTCACTCTACTATTCAGAAGAAGGTAATTAGGTGAAATGAAGAAACAAAGTTGAAGGGAGGGCCAAATGAATCATTCAGAGTGAAGCTCTGCTCCCAATTGTCCCAATGGAAAAATCACTTGAAAGGATGAATCACCTTAGGCCCTTCTCTTTGAACTACATGGATTCAAAGAAGTTTGTCTCTAAGTTTCTTTCATTTATAACAACATGCTCAAACATTTTGTCTACTGAAGCTTTATTTGATGGCCTGTGTTTCTATCTCCCACAATCCCTGAGCCATTTTGAGCTTTCATTATATTGCCTGATGCACAGTCTTTCATGGGTGTTGTAGAAATTTTCTTCTAAGAGAAAAATCAGAACCTGGATTGCTCAGGAGACTGTGTTCTCATTGAGAATTACAATTTATCTATTTCTGTGTATGAGTGATTTAGGGAGGGAGTATCTATAACCATGTTGTAAACATTTTTCCTTTTCTGATAGTCACCGTGTGGGGGACTATATGGGAGAAGGGCTGAACAACAAGGGAGCATAGGAATAAGAACATTTTCTAGCATTGAGAGATATAGTGGAGGAGTACCATGTACCTGGTGAAGAGGTCAATAAGAAACTTGTATGCAACAACAATCAAACATGTCAGTGAATGGACTTCCCCCTTATCCATCCCCCTCATAAGGAGGTGGGGGTGGGGCAAAATTTACCAGCCCAGTGTGATGCTGAATCACAAGAGGATGGAACCATGCAACATTTTGGCTGGCTCATACTAGACAGGAAGGCTTCTGTGATCATAGAGTGTGATTGTAAGGGTATGACCTCTGGGGCCATGAATTATGGCTACACCACTGGTAGCATATGATTTAAGCAAATTATTAAACTTACCAATGTTTCTGCTTATTCATCTGTTAAATAGGCATAATTGCAATATTTATAACAAGGTAATTTTGAGGACTAAATGAGTTCATATTGTACTTAAAATGGAATTTGGCACATAGTAAATGTACAATAGGTGTTAGTTGATAGGTGTCTTCTGCTGCGATGAGCAAATATTGCTTAGTTTAAGAGAATGGCAGATGAATTGATCCCCACTCCTACCCATTATTTAAAAAAAAGTGTCTAAGCCTTCATTTATGGTTGTCATGAAAAACATTTTTTAATACTTTCAGCAATAAATCCTTCTGTTTACATATATTACTACTATAGAAGCTTAACATTAAAAGTCATCAAGCAAGCAGTAACATAATTTCTCAACTCAGTTCCACACACCAATAAAGATATGATAAATATCTTAAAGGTAGAATAGTTTGCAAGCCCAGACATTTGTAAATAAACTTTACTAGTGTTCCTTCCTTTAGCCTCACTCAGAGATTCTCACCTGAAACATATAAGAATTATTTGGGACTATACATGCCTAATCACATTAACTGTAATCTAAGAGTGATTTAGAAGGTACTCAAGAATACATTCAAACAATGCTGCTTTTGAAACCTCTGACCTGGCAAGACATGATTTTTCTGCACTTGTCCCAGATAAGTTTAAGAAGAAAAAAGACAACATGCACAACAGATAAAGCTCTGGTTCAAACACCTCACCCAGCAAAGCAGAAGATCCAGATCAAGAAGGTCCCACCAACCCTAATCTGTGGATAGCATAGTCCTCTGCTGAATTCAGACAGATGATATAGATTGATAGTGCAGAGAACGCAGATCCTACAGTCTTTCTGTAGGTACTTACCAAGTACCACTGCTGATTCCACATAGGATCATTGAAGAGATTTAGTGCAGAGTCTCCTAAAGCTGAACGTTTGCTTCTCTTTTTTTCATACTGTTGTTCAGCCCATATCACCTATAAGGATTTTTATATTAAGAAAATCAAAAGCCATGCAACCACATCTGTGAAATCATCTTTCCTCCATCTCTAGGATCCTGCCCACCAGGACTCAGGAAACTCCACAGTGTTTTTGTCTGACCACAGATCAAACTGGCAGCCCAGTGAGAAGAAGTGCCCGTGGGGGAGACAAACATTTCCTCTGTTACAGTAAAGTGTACCTTTAGGGGAAGAGAAGCAGTCAGTGAAGTGATGATTCCCTCAAATTATTTACCCTGTGATTACAGTGGAGTAAAAGTTTAGCCTGCTTTCATCAGAAAATGGGCCATAATACTCATTTTTATAGTAAGTTCCAGGACTCTGTACTTGAAAATTTGTTCATTTTCATGAACTGAATCACCAAGCTAAGAGACTGTGGAGACTGCTGTTACAGTGCTCTTGAACCTTAATTTTTCTTTCTTTTCACACAAAAGGTGGAAATTGCAAATGTTACACAAGACAAGAATGGTGCTGTGTCTTTGCAAATTTGAAACTCTGGCTGCTCTGCACTTCAACCCCTTACTTAACAGTATTTAATAGGAGAAACAGACCCAGAGTGATGAATGAGCATTACTGACCAGGCACACTTGCCATTAATTCAGTCTCATGCATTATGTAAAGAGATCTGACAATCCAAAAATTACCTGGCCCTCATTTAGGGCATAATCCTATTATGTTTGAGGTCCTGGGAGAGTAAGGGACTGCTTTGTATTTATAAACATTACAAGATTTATGCTATGTTATATGTTTGCTGAGCAATATGACTGTTCCCTGTTGCAAACACCAGCTTTTCTTTTGCATACGTGGTGACAGTCCACTGTGAGGTGGGATATTGTTCATGTGAGAGTCCTAATGAGTCAGATCCAAAAATAAAAACTAAAAAATAATTTGCAGCTGACAAATAAAACCATCCACTAAGACTGTCCTGAATTTTCAATTAGAAAAATATACTGCAAGCATATTCTAAACAGTGGGAAGGACTTGAGAGCTAGAAATTCGTCAATATAATTTATTTTTAAAGTGATTTATTTTCAAGCATAATTATTTTGGCTTAAAATACCACAGTACTTGGAATACACTGCTCACAATCTAAGTTGGTCTTTGGAAGTTGGGTGCTAGGAAACAAGTAGTGATCCTTGTGGAAGAGGTGACTTGGAGTTGGAGATTTCATTAGTCTGTAAAGATAGACTATTGCTGCATTTCACAGGGCTGATTTGAAAGAGTATTATTCCCCATCAAAGAAGAGCAATAAAATGAGAATCAAGAGCAATTTTTAAAACTGGAACATAAGAAGAGGCACTCTGCCATCTGATCAGATAAACATTCAATTGTAGGAAACAGTGTTATGATTAATGTCATTAACTCAGAATTGCATATTAATCTCCAAAGAGCAGACTAAATGGAACAGAGAAAATTGGCAGTGCCTTCTTATTATGCATATAATAGGTATCATGCACTTCATTGTAAATAATATTTTTGATCTGGAAGAGCATTGAAGATCATCTAGTCTAATCCTCCACTGCAAGCTTCTATGGCTCTAGGAATTTTCCTAAAATAAAATTATTCTAGGGCTAATTTTTCATAGGGTTATTAAAACTCATTTTTAATGAAGTTACATTGGGGAGCAAATTGTTAGCTTTTTTTAAAAAAAAAAACTATGCCTTGGAATTCCTCTCAAAATTAATGAGATAACTGAAGAATGGGTCTGGGTCATCTGTTCATTTTCATGCTGCACTTTGAATAAGAATAGCAGGTACACTTCACTCTGTCCAGTTTCTCCTATGAAGATGAGTAGGGAGGTCAGTTTGACTTCCTTGTGTATTGATGCTGGGCATGCGTTTATGCAGAGAAAGAAGTCTCTCCTGCCTTGGCCACCAACTAAGCCTAGCCAGAGTGCTGGAAGGTGTCCTGCTTCTCAGAGACCACATGCAATAAGCCATCTACCTTTGAGTGGGTAAGAGATGACGTAATTGGACAGCAAATCTGTTAAAGTAAGGTTCAGGGTCTCTGATTTGGTCTCCCACATCTAGCCAGAATTGACAAAAGAACTAGCAAGGGTGTACTTGGGCTGCAGGTTTGCAGTCTGTGGTTCTGATATAGCAGTAACAGAATGTGATTGGTTCTTTCACATTTGAACACTGGTGACCAAGGACCAATAATTTGTTACCCTTATAATTTGTCTTCTATTATTTAAAAAATCTGTCAGTTAAGGGACAAATAAAGCTGCAAATTATTTCACAGCTTTCATGAATTACATGTACTTTTTGTCTGTTCTATCACTTTTCTGTCACTTTTGCTTCTCCCCCTCCACCCCAGGAAGCAGAGAGAATATGTTGTTATCTTGCACTATAATTCTCTAGAGTGTCCTAGATATCAGGGCAACCAGGATAAATTTCTCCCAGTATGGCACAGTCTTGAGAAAAGGCAACACTGTGTATGCAAATTTCAGCAATCCTAATGTGGTCAACATTTTTCTGTTAACATATTTGCTGACCTTGAACATAGATTTAAAAAATCAATAGAGATATTACATATGCATTCATATTCTCCCCATCCCATTGACCTATATTGATTCTAAACATTTCCTGCCATTTACTAATCATGAATCAGTATACAAACAATGATAAAAAGAGATAATATGGTTTGGATCAAACAGTACAACACTTATGGAAACATTTATCTCATGAAAACGTAGATTTAGAGCTCTTTCACAAACACTAGTATATTTCTAGAGGTGGAAATGGTGGAATGTTTTTCAGTTACACTGAAATGTTATTGAAATAAGGGTAATATATTTCTTTCGCATCCTTACATTGGTATTAGAGTGCCTGGCACGTAAGAGATACATAATAAAAGATTGCTGGTTATGTTGCTAAAATTTTTCACTAGTGCTGCCACCTGATTTTCAATATTCAAAAATTAAAACTTTAGATATATATAATATATATATATATGCATATTACATATAAAGTATATATAATTACCTTTAGTTTAATTAACCAATCTAAACTTGTTATTATATGCAATAATAACCCTATGAAAAGAACCTAGAAACACTATAGATAAACACCAAAAAAGAATCATATTTGAAAAACATTTTTGCTCTTGTTAGAAATCATAAAGAAAGCAGGTAAGTCACGGTACTGGTTTGAGGACAAATGCACAACACTTACACGATCATCATCAGACAATCTCTTAGTGATATGAAGGGCACTCCTTCGAGACCTTTGGGGATGGTTTGTATGTTTGAATAAGTAGTGATTTTCAAGTGATCCAATCTATAAAATAAAACAAAACAAAATCAAAATCCACTTTCCCAAACAAGTATATGTGAACTGGTTCCAAAATCAACTAACTTAGAGACAGGAAACTTTTATTAAGCCTCTTCTTGGTTCCTCGACGTTAACTTTTTTATTCATGAAGGCACTGACAGAAGTTTTGATATGACCCTCAGAATATTGTTGCTTGGGCTTATAGTGTACTTGGGAACTGGTGATGCCTCTGTTTCATACATTTTAGAAGTAACTTGGATTTGTGTGTGTGTGCATATATATTTTTTTCTCAAAAAATGCTCATTTAATCAAATATATGTGTTAGAAAGCAATTATTTGTGGAAAGCAACCAAACTGCTTTTGTATTATCTGTAGTCAGTGCCACATTCAGCTAAAACAAGTCATTGATATACTATATAGCCATTGAGTCCATAGTGATAAATGTTATCAGCTATTACTGGTGATAACTTTTTTTTTGTGGGACTGGAATTTGAACTCAGGGCTTCATGCTTCCAAAGCAGGTACTCTACGCCTTGAGCTACACCTCATTTTGCTCTGGTTATTTTGGAGATGGGGTCTCATGAACTGGCTGGTCTCCTGGGCTGGCCTAGAATTGCAGTCCTCCAGATCTCAGCCTCCCAAGTAGCTAGGATCCAGTTCCTGGTTTACTATCTTTTGATTTTCTACTAGTTTAAGGTTTTCAAGAAAGAACATGCCATATTTAGCACAGGTGTGTATACTTCTTGCATGATTCTCAACACTATCTGGTCCATTTAGAACTATGTTCATTATTCTTTTAAGCTAGAGTCCCTTTACATGAACCAGTACCAAATGTGAAGCTACCAAACCCTCTAGAGGCCCTGCATGGCTTAAATTAAGAGACAAACTACTAACAACACTTTATCCCAGAAGAAGTATGTTGTTTAAATTAGCAGTTCTCATCCTCCAGAGAAAAATTTTAATACAGATATTTAGCTCCAAGACTGAACCTTAGGCAGAGTATCTGCTGTAAGCTGTAGATGGAGTTGGAGAGAGAGATCAGAAGCCACAGGAGAAGATAAAGGTTGCTTAGCTCTGTTTCTGCTGTCAATTGGTTTTGCTAGTCTCTACCTTAATCTTTAGGTAATCTTTTCATCTTTAGGCCATGATATTTTAGGACAGGAAGGACAAATTAGTATAATTTTAGTAATGGTAAACAAAAAGAGCAATAAATAGGGGCATGAACAGCACTATTAATCTCTTATAAATATTATACTCTTAAGGTATTTGTTTGTTAGTAATGCCACTTTACTAGAAAGGGTTAGAGGAAAAGGTATTGTAAATCATATGTAATTACAGATGGTGAATAATTTTTAAATTATTTGTGTGACTATGCCATCCCTATCTCAAAGATTCTACCAAGAAAACTGATTACTTTTTATTTTTTGGATTTATGTTTATTTATCTTGGAAAGTAATTCCCATATTGAATGGTCCAGGTCTGGATGTGTTTGGGGATGACAGGTGAGAAAAAGAAGAAAACTTTATTTTTCCTTTCTCTCCCAATCTCCTTTTACACAATTACCAGGCTGCCTAAGGGATCCAGGGTTAATTCTGCAGGATATCCCCCCATAAGGATTTGCCTTCTATTCCTGGAGTGAGTTCTCCAATCTCACTATGCTGTCCTGGCAACCTCTGACTCTTCTTCCTAAACCTTGTGCAGGTGTTTCCACCTGTGGGCAGCCTTCTTTCACTCCTCCCAATTTCCCTTCACCTTCTTTCCTTCAATCAAAAGATACTCTATTGAAACTCCAAGCACAGCTTCCATTACTACGCAAATTGCATTCACTTACAGTTTTTTGTTTCTAAGCCAGTCTCCTCTACTTTCTGAATTCCTTGAGAGCGTTTCTTTTCATTTATTCCTAACCGTCTAACACAAAGCCTGGAACACAGCAAGGGCTGAGCAAAAGCAAAAGGCTCAGTCTGTTCCTGGGGCACTGGAGAATCAATCTGGGTATTGACTTTCCTGCCGGGCATTTCAAAGACAGTTTGGCTCACAAAGTTAGAGAATGAAGCCTCTAGCAAGAGAACGCGTATTCCCCAGCGGATTCGATCTATGGAGTCGCCAACGCCCACACCGATTACTCATCCATGACTTCAGCTGCTTCAGCTGCGTCTCAATCACCACCTCCAGAAAAGAAAACGCGCCAAAATGTTTTACAACTCCCTTCCCCCCCCCCCCCCCCCCCCCGCTTCAATGCGGACCAATTTCCAAGGCTAGGGTCGAGGGCTTGATTCTGAGTCAAGAAAAAGGAAAGTTCTAGAGTAGAAGTCGCCCTATTTAGGGTCCCCTTGGAATCGTCCAGCCAAGCACGCTCCCTCGTAATGGTTTTGCGCTCCCCTTTCCGTCTATGAACCCAGCCCCGACTTGAACAGGCAACAGTTTCTCTCATTAGCTGAAACACCGGGGAGGATTACGCACATGATCGAGGAACAAGAAAGAAATACATCCTTTTCCCACAGTCAGTTCGGCAGCTCGACCCTGCAAGGGACATTGGTGAAGGAAAGTTACGAAGCTTCGACTTCCCAAGTTCCTTTTCCAGTAGCAACACTGGGCTCCTGGAGGAGGGAAACGGTGCTTCCTTGCCTTTCAGTTACCTCCTCTCCCGCAGACACTCCGCCGCCCCCTGCCCCACGCCGCCAACTTCCGAGCTGCTCGTCCCAGTAGCCGGCGCTCTCTCCACGCTCTGGGCGTGCCCCCAAACGCTGCCGGCGGATGTCCCCAAGCCTGCCTGGCCCCTTGCATCGGGACTTGGATCTGATGCTGCCATATTGAAAAGAAGGAAAGCGCCAGATCCTGACGCAGACCGCGCCTGAGTCCCGGGGGACAGAGCGCACTGCCTCTCCCAGAGTCGCTCGATGGGTGAGAGCCTGTGTGCACCTCAACTTCCTTGAACAAGTGTGAAGGGATTTTTTTTTTCTTCCAGGCTGCGCGGGAACGGCTTTCAGTTCTAGAGAGGATAATAGTAAGAACAAGCTCTACCCAGCTACAGCAGCTTCCTTCTGCCTGGCTGCGCCCGGCCCGAATGGTAAATAATGCAAACCCTCTTCCTCTAAAAGTGCGCCAGGGGCGAGCGCTGGAGGAACTCCCTGCTCTTGGCCACACTGGGCGCAGGAGCGTGCTACCTAGGCTCCCACTTGGGAGACCGCGCTTCAGTCTCACCATTCCCCTTGAGTCCCAGAAAGTTTCTTAAAAGTGCCAACTCTTACCTGACCCAAAAGGTCATAGCCCAGCTCCTCGGCGATGGCCGAGGCTGCCTCCGGGCCCCCGGGGATCTCCGCCGCCCATTCATTGACAAACTGCCTCTTCGCTTTTACACTGTTGAGTGCACACCAGGCGCAAAAGAGGGCGAAAGCAGTACACTGCAGACTCCAGGCTCTTGGCTCCATGGCTCACACACTCATTCGCATACAAGTGGAAAAGAGAGCGGGCAAAGAAGCAAGGTAGGAGAAAAGCCAGCCAGACTCGACCTTTCCACCCTCGGACTCGGAACCACTCCTGGCTCCCAGTTGTTCTGCGAAGAGCTAGGAGGCGCGCGAGGAGAGGCTGGGCGGCGGCGAGCGCTCACTGAAGCGCTGCGGTCTCCCGGCTGAGCGGAGCCCCAGCCTTCCCAGCCAGAATGGAAATGAGTGTTTACACGTCAATTCGACGAAAGCCATCTCTTGACGTCAGATCTACCTGGACTCAGATCTGGATGGTATTCCCAGCGGGGTGGAGAAGCAACTAAAATAAGCAGCGAGGGATTTAGAAAAGGAAGGAACCGTTTGCTGGGATCTGTTAATTCTCCTCCCTGTCTGCCCATAAATACTGTAGCTATAAGAAACATCACTTCTCAAAGAGAAGTGCCCACATTTGAACATGCAATTCAAATGGGAAGTGCAGCGCACTCCCCCCCCACACATCCATTTTCTTTTTATTATCTCTTGTGCATGTGGTGGGGGGCGGTGTGGGTAGGATTCTTATAATGGCCCTTTGGGTATCAGTGCCTGCTATGAAAACAGAGCTCTTAGAGGTTTCAAATCGAATAGTCTGGGAGGGGAAAGAGGAGGGGAGCTAACGCTGCCCAAATTCTGCTCTAAATCCCGGGAGAAAATGAGCACTTCACAGAGACAGTGTTAAAGCGATACTTTTTAAGACATATTTTTAATCAGTCAAGTTTTTTTTTCTTCTCTCTTGTTTCTCAACCTCACTAAAACAATACCTAAAATTCTATCCCAGCGATTAATTAGAAAAAATAATCAATCACATGATTTTTTTCTAAATCGACAGCAAGGACTGTAGGGTCCGGAAGGGGAAACGACAGGTTTCATTAACCCTGAACTTAACCATTTGTCACCCATCAGAGCTGTTCATTTCGGTGCTGACTGAAGCTGTGCCACTATTTTCCAATGAAATGCATAATGTGTGGATTGTGGAAGACTATTTTCCCGTGAATAGAGAGCAAGCAAACGTCTAAATGAGCTCCCCCCCCCGCCCCCACACACACCAGAAAGAACTGCGTTCAGTCTACCATGGCAGCAACTACACGGATGCTGAGGGATTGAACCTGGCTGGAGATACCGGTGTCTAATACTCAGCACCGAGGTCTGGACAGCGACACTCGCACTACCGGGTTGGAGTTGCTCTTCTGAGCACCCAGGGTCTCCGCTCTTCCACAGCTGGCCAGCTCCAAGCCGTTTCCCTTTTGACTTGTGTCTTTCCCCTCCTTTGAACAGAAAAAATAGGAAATTGGCCGGAAGAGGGTGTGTGGTTAGATTCATGATCGTGACTATTTGTATCGTGCTCTCTGGAATGCATTGGACTCAGCCCAAAAGTAAAATTGTAGGGAGGAGAAAGTGAACGTGTGTTAAGATTTTTCTTCTCTTATTTTACCCCCAACCGCCGGAGGGCGCAATCTAGTCTCCAGAAAGAGGAAAAAGGAGAGGACTTGAAAAAAGGCCTAAGGACATGTAGAGAAAGAAAGCCAGAGGCTTTCTGTACAAGAAGCAAATGAGGCAAGACGTGGTGGAGGATAGGGCTGAGTAGTACTAAGTTTTCATTTGCCTCTGTTTGCTAAAACGAGGACTGGATTGATAATTTCTCTAAACATAAAACGTATTTACAAAAACAAATGCCAACGTTAATAAGACATCTGATGCAGCTAATTACAATAATGTAACTCTCACATGAGATGCTGTGGAATAGGCCCAGACCGATAGCTCTGTTTGCTGCTCTGTAAATCCACATGTGTGAATGTCCATGGCTGGGCGAGCTGTCTTCTTTTTTTGTCATGCCTCAGCCTGAGTTGTGGCCTCAAGCTCTCTAAGGTGCCTCATTCTGACAGCAGACAGATGCTAACAGTGCACTAGCAAGCCAAGGGAAACCTGTGGCAAACGTTTAATAATGGAAAGATATGGTCAGAGCAGCAACACTGTTTGTTCCTTTCTCATTGGTGTTCAAGTAAATCAGCTTGGCAGAGATTTGGCCTTAAGGTCTGTATCTCCTTAATAAGACATTTGTCTTAAATGGAACAACGCCATGCAAGCCTAAAATAAACTTTAGTTAATATACTTAATAAGATAAACAAAATTCCCACAGAATAAAGATAATATCCTTACAATTATAGCCATAACTTATTCTGAAATTGTTTGATATTTATTCAATGTGTCATATCTGCTACACCTTCTGAGACACAGAAGAAATGGATTTTTCTAAGGCTAGGGGCATAAATATATTTAGAATACTTCTTAACTTTGTCATATCAATGGCTAGTTCTAACCTGCTTGTGGATTCAAGCCCATCCAGCTCCTATTTTTACATCATGAATTGGAAAACCAATGATTACACCTGAGCTGGTTATAATGGCATTTCTTTGATCTTATCAATTTATAGAGAAAACAGGATAATTTAGAAACCGAGGAAGACTGTGTTTCCACTATGAATTACCAAGTGAGCATCCTGCCTTTGGTGACCACTCTTAACTACCCAGTGATGTAGTTAATCATTTACTAAGTTTTCTTGGAGAGTTATAAGAGCAAGGCTACTATGAGCAGAAAGACAGAATACCTTCTAACAGATCACCATATCTTTTTAGTCTTTGGAGGCAAATTTTGAGCCTTTTGTTACTATGAAATAAAATATGTGCCCTCATGTATATAAATAATCATTTGAGCTCAGGGATATGAGGCCAACCTGGGCAACATAGTGAGACCCCATTTCAAAATAAAAAGAAAGGCAGAGGAAATAACTTAGACTTAACATTTTCCAGTTTGTTATGGATAATAGCAACTATGCATTAAGTCAACTGTGTAATCAATTAGTCTATAATTAAATTAGAAGGTATTTTTCAGCAGAACATATTAGAGAAGCAAATTTACCTTTCAGTGTTTCTCCACATAGAAAATAGTATTTGTATGGCACACTTGGATAACCTGGAGAAAATACGGAAACTTGGTTATGAGACTTGGTGCTTACATTTTCTTTATATAATACATTTGTGGTAACAGGATAAAACATACTATTTTGGGTGATATATCAAAGTTGATATAGATAACTTTAAATTAAGAAGTATGAATATGAATCCATCAACTATAGCCTTTTGTGTTTGAAGGGGCTATATGCTATTTCTAATCAAAACATTTTAATAACCAATAATCTTTTCAAAGTTTTGACAGCTGCCTTCAAGGAATGATTTTTGCACAAGTAGTGAATAAAATTATTGCCTGTAACCCAACTATGTGGGAAGTGGAGGTAGGAGGCTCTGGACAAAAAAGGCGAGCCTCAACCTGAAAAATAAAATTAAAGCAAAAAGGGCGAGAGTTATGGCTCAAAGTGGCAGAATGCTCACCTAAGTGCAAGGCCCTGAGTTCAGAACCTCAGTGGCACCAAAAATATGTAAGTACTCTGTAAGTCCTCAAAATTTTTCAATGTTTGACTGTTTATTTTTAAATAATATAACACCTCCTTTATTTTCTTGCCAAATTTACTATTACAGTTTCACAGAAGGATGCATAGAATCCACCTAAATTTAATGTCAAGTATTATAAAATATTAAAATTCTAAATTGGAAAATACACATTTCTTTTAGAGAAGTTAACTGTACATCAGCTTCACCACTAATGGATGGAAGCATTTAGTATGTGGGAAGACTGATATTGGGGATAGCATGTAAAGATATGCCTGCCAGGAGTGCCTGACTTGCTTTCTCGTTATATCTCCTCCAATGCCAGATTTTGTTGGGCGTGCCATACGAATTAGGCATTTAAAATATGAACTCCTCCACAGATCCACAGATGCTTTTCACATGATGGAAAGGGACATGCCTGCAGGAGGTTGCTGAAGTAGATATCATTGTGGTAGACATTCTGTTTGGTTGAGCTTCAGGAACTCATCATCAACCTGCTTGCCTGGGCTTCCCTAGGGATGAGAAGACCAAATATCTTGAGGGATGTCTTTAACTCTGCCATCTAGGAAGTTCTGATCTATAGAAATGGAGGTAAGAGAAAAACCAAGCAGTCTGTACACTGAAAGGCTCTGATGTAGATGAGTAATTATGAAGGATTTTTGTTGAATGAACTGGACTTAAAATCTTGAATTTAATATAGAATTGAATTATTAAAATTGAAATCATGAGCGCTATTAATTCCAAGTGTTGGAAATGATTTGTCCTTTCTAGTGAAAATAGATTGTTATATCTAATTGTATACATGTAGGTAGTGACAACTTTTCTGTCTTTAGAACATACGCTTTAGAATTTGCATTTACTGAGTGAACTTTGTAGTGTCCAGGCTGGTGCTTGCAGGCAATGCTCCTGCTTCCTCTATGCTCTCAAGCACTCCACTCTCACATGGAAACCACACATGCCTGTGTTCTTTACTCCAAAAGTATATTTCTCGGTGAGAATTATAGACTCTCAATATAGAAAAATGACCTTGGATGTTATCTAGTTTCTTGCTTCTCAAACTATGGCCTGCAGACCAGCATGACAGGCACCACTTGGGAATTTATTCGAAATGTAGGCCCTTAGCTCCCATCCTGGACCACTGTATCAGAAGCTGCATTTTTAATGAATTCTTGGTGATTCATATGCAATTAAAGTTTGAGAAGCATTGATCTAATTAACACCTTTTTATATACAAGACACTCCTGTGTGATATTCCTATTAGATTATAAGATAATTCATGGTGTCCCAAAACAACCCATTCTTTGGTTTGGATTGACACAAATGGTTACAAAGTCCTTCCTTGTAACGACATAATTACTCCCTCATTACCCACCTCCAATCAAGCATGTTAGTTTTGCCCTATGGTACTACACTGACAAATCTCAGTCTCTTTTATACATGACCGTTCTACCTCTTCATACTTTGAAGGCAGATTATTGTGTCTTGTTAACTTTTTTCTACTTCAGTTAAACATTCTTAATCTGTTTTGAAACTTTTGTGACCTGGTTACGAATTCCTAAATAAGATTTTTTTGACATAATTTAAAAAAGATAGCATCCAGAAGAAAATGTGGTAAGCATAACTGGTTAAACCTATGCAGGAATGTCGTCTCTTCTTGTAAACTACAGCCTAAAATAGAATTATCCTTATTTTTTCTTATA